TCTTGAGCAAGGACAGGGAAGAGGGATTCATGATGTTAACAAAGAGGTTGAGAAGAAAGGCTTTAAGAACAGGACCGAGGTCTGGGCTGTTGTCAATGCCCTTAAGAACAATGGAGTTAAGGTCGTTCTTGAAGATAGTGAAGATAATCCATCCCGGCCAATTTACTGACATAACAATACATCTCTTCCCCTTTCTAGTTTGACAAGAAGAAGGAAAAGAAATAAAAGCCACTCAAAGATAGCTTATGGATGTATCATGTCATCCATGCTTCCATGGCAGCAACCCAACTTTTCTATCAATTTTCCATTCTTTATTTCCCAAGTATATTCCACAGTTAAATTTTCTTTTGGAAAATGTTTGGAAAATGTAATTACATATGTGTCTCACGATGTCATCCAAGTTCAAGTTTCTGAATTAATTGACTGGATTGTGATTACTAAACCACTAACAGTCCATAATATCAAACCTTATAGCCAATGTCTTGAGACAAAGTACCTCAACGGCCGACTTCTTTGACATTTCAGTACTTTTAGAAGATTTATCATTCTTGTTGACCATAAATTCACCTCACTTTCAAGACGGGCCGCCGGTACCAGCCACGTTTGATTTTGAACCTTCCAGGCTCCCACTTTCTTGTTTCGCATGATGCTTCCTTGACAGTAATGTTGTAAGGTCTTGAAATTCTATCCGACAGATCACCCCAAGATGAAAAAAAAAAAAAAAGTTGACCCAAACCATGCAACACATTTTTTCCAAGTTAACTTATTGTCCATACATTCATATTGACTGCCTTGACTTACCGAAGTCGGCATTACCCTATAATATGGTATATGCTTGAAATTTCAGGTTATGTATAAAAAAATGCTTTACATACAAAATCTTCACATCCATAAACATAAGAGTATTTGTTGAAAAGATTAAATTCAAACAAAATTTAACACTATCTTTAACGTCTTAAAAAAAATTTATATCAATTTTTTCGATTCATTTATTAAGTGAATTTACAAATAATCTTATAACATCTTACTTGATAGATATGATTGTAATTATAAATAGATATAATCATTAGTAAATATATATACTAACAACATGAAAAATTTTAGAAATATATATTTAAATCTAGCCATTTGTGCCATGAATTCATTTCGTTAAAGCTATGGAGAAGAAGGGTAACATAATCATTCGACTCCCTCCCTAAAAAAGGTCTAATACTCATGATTATACATGCTTTCTTTGTACGTTTGGGAGTAAAAGCAACGTTATCTTTGTTTATCTTTTCAATCTTCAATGACCCAAAATATAATGTAAAGGACATTTCTTAGGAATGGTGGGTTGGAAAGGAAATAAAAAGGTGAAAAGAAAAAAAACCAAGCTTTTGGAAAATCTCCCCCTCCCCATAAAGTCTATACATGCACTTCAATCAAATCAATCTTAACCCAATAATTCATAATCTAATAATGACAATTTCATTCAATAACTTAGGAATCATATGTTCCGTACCCGTAACCCAAAAAAAGAAAAACCCTTTTTAAATTTTCTAGTAAGTTTTGGGTTTTTCTAAATAATTTTCTCAATAATTTGTAAATCTCAGTCAATTTTTTTTTTATAATAAATTTAGCAATGTATGTAATTTGAAAGACATACTTTTAATATCTTTTGATATATTTAAAATTTTATTTTCAAAATACTCTCCTATCGTATAAATCTCAATTAATTTCGTATCTTTGATTTTTTTTATTAAAAAAAAGTTAAATGAAATTTCTTGAGGAATAAGCTGAGTGAGCATATTATTGATCAACATAGTCCCAAACAAATCAACCCCCTCAATAAGTTAGATGATAATCAATGACCAAAGGATTCTTCCAAGTAATGTATCAAAGGAGTTTGTGCCATTTGCCTTCCAAAAATCAGATTCTACCTTGGGAATAAAGTATACATCCATGCAAAATAATAAATGGTAAGATTAATTTTGAATAATTGAATTTATCAAAAGTTATACTCCATCGTATAAAGTAAGGTCTCGGCCATTTCATAAGCTTGCTATATATCTCAAAATAAAATTATCAAAAAGAAAAACAACCTTTAACATGTTTTTCTCTTTATCACTTTTTTTTTCTTTTTTATCTCTTTTTCAACCTTTCCCATTTCTTGAGCGAAATCCATATATATATATATATATATATATATATGTTACACTAATCAAAAAGGACTTTTCATGCTTGAAAATGAATCTCTTTTTAATTCTTTCTTCAATCCACCTTTTGATATAGTCTACTTCTACTCACATGGGATTGAGCTCATGCAATCATCACATCCTTAAAACGGATGCAAAAGACCCTTTGATCACAAGGATTTGGAATCTTATCCTACATATATAATTCTTTAATTTTTTTTTGCATTTTGTCCTCTTGAATTACAAGCATTTATTAAAAAAACCCACCGTTCATCCATGAAATTAGATCACTTTTTTCTTTTGTTTACAATGTCAAAGAATATCTTCACAAGAAAGAAGTAGACAAGTGAATTATACATAATCCCAATTTTCTTCTAGCCAACATTAATTCATTATTCAAATGAGGTTGGGTATTCTTGGTAGGTGGGTTGAATATTCCTTCATTTTCTAAAGCTCTATCTTTTTTTTTCTTTCTTTCTTTTCTCCTTGGTGGCTGGCACATGTCACTTCCTCTTGATTAAGAGAAAAAAAAAATGGAACTGGAATTACTACTAACAACACTAAACTTGACAAAAAGATTAGCTTGTTACCAAAATTTGATATTGAAAAGTGGTTTTGGTGTTCCTTGTGACATTGTGTGCTAGCTGTTCCCAATCTTTGTGGAAGGTTCCCCTTAATTTCACAAAGGGAGACAAAGGGACATGGGGGGATTTGGGAACATGGTTGTGCCGCTTTGCTGCATGAATGGCACGTTGAGGCACCATCATGATGGCATATTCATGTACATGCACCCACCCACATGTACATCATGATTTTACAGGTGCACATGCAATTTTTTTTTCTTTTTGGCTTGAGGAAAAGGGTTAAGTCTACATGACTCTGAATGATGATGAGTTACATTGAAAAGGAAGTGAAAAGGAATATGTTAGCACAAGGAAACTATTTTGGAAAATGGAAACAATGACTGAAGGAAAAGGAGTATATGTCAAGACCTAGAAGATTTTGACTCATGGATAAAACTCAATTAATTTCTTCTTAATGATTAAGTTATATTCTGATCAGAGAACAAGATCTGGAATATGTTAATCTCAATCTCATTCAGTATAAGTCAAACCTAAAAGATAAAGCATTCATCAAGCCAATCACAAGCATTAAAAGAATTTTTTTATAAAAATAATTTAAAAATAAATGAAGCGAACATTTGATTAAAGAAAAAAAAATTAAACCGCTTGCTTATCATAAACTTGTCTTTCCCATATTTTCTTGCTCTTTTTTTTTTTTAGATCATACAGAAAAAATATCCCAATTGTACCAAAGGTTGCAACAAGGTGATGGCAACATCCAACGTGAAACATTGTCATTGGCTTCTTGCACACTGCCCTGGTGGCTGGTGTGGCCCTTTTACTATAGTGTAAAACTTCAGCACGGGACCTGGAAAAGAGCCTGTGTACATTCCACGAAATGCCGCCTGCATATTGCTCATCCTGTCTTTGAAACAGGACAAAAACAAAGGCTTATTCCTATTTCCTAACCAGGACGGCAAAGAAATTGGTTAACCAATGCCTCAAGGCTCAGGACACCTAATAAGGACACACAACAAGTTAAGGCATGTATTCGCTGGTTCAGAGGCCAATTTTGTCGAATAATTTTGTAGGTCCCGACCTATGATTCAAACTCTTTTTCATGTTATTTTATGCTGTGGACCCAAAAATATGACTCCTTCGGCAAACATGAAGTGTCAGATAATTCATTTGCCTGTGTCATCGCTCATCTACCATTTGCTGATTCCATAGTGGGCAAAGCTTTGCACATTCACAAAATCATGCTAACTGCATTTCTCTCCTGATTTCCTACTTTGAGAGCTTTCCTTTACATTTTAGTATAATTGTAAAGATCAAAATTGTGCAATCTTGACGTTTCTCATTTGAATAACTTATACAGTATTATTATTCTTAGCTATTTTCTTTAAAACATTAACGAACCTGATGATTCTAGACGTTTATATATATTGAGTATCATATGGAAGCATTTCATGGAAAATGAAAATAGTACTTCACCTAATTTGGGAACTTACAAGTACATTTATTGTTAATTCTTTTATAAAAAAATATCTTAATTTAAAAATAAAAAAAATTACAAGTGTTCACATACTTACTTGATAGGAGTTTTTAAAAATAAAATAATTATATGAATCAACTTATTTAAAATTTTGAATTCATATTTATTGCTAGTTTGCTATTATTATACAATTTTCATTCAAGATGTATAGTTACCAAGCAAGTTATAAATTCTGAAGCTGTTATGTATCAAACAAGACAGCCTCATCAGGCTGCAAATATTGAGTGCAAACTGCAAACTAGAAAAGGTATTATAAAAAACCATTAATTGTTGAACAGATCGAATGGGCTGAATGGTAGGTGTGTTATGACTTATGATCAGATCTTTAAAAACAAAGAATCTTCCAGGTCATGCATGCATTCAAATATATATATTTTCTAATCATATTTTGTAAAGGTTTTTCTTTCCCTCTCCCCTTTTCCTTTGGGGTTAGAAAAAAACAGTAGTGAATATGACTTGTGTGCCAATGTCCACATCTTAGTGGTTATACATCACACACGAGTAAACCCCACCCTTGGGTCATTTTTTTTCACATTTATGGAGTGGCACCAGCCAGTGTCCTTACCCTTCATGTCTCACCCAAAGTAGAATTCCCGGCTGCAAAATAAAACAATGACAAATCCCACAAACCCCACATCACAAAAAGTTAGAAAGTACTATTAGCTAGTAAAACAGTTGTGAGAACGAAAATAAACCACACCGGCGACATAGCAAAATACCACTAATCACATTAAAATTGCCAACATTTAACATTTTCAACAACAAATAACGAGATCAAAACCTTAGAATCCAACATATATAAAAACCCAAACAGGCTTTGGAGCTCCAAGTTTAACTCAAAATTTTCCTTCCAAGTAAACTCTCTTCTCTATTTCTTATTTACACGTTTTCCCATTTACCTTAACCTAAAAACCTATACCATAAACCCCATTTCTCCTCACAAAATGACACAAGCATTAGGATTCTCATCATTAAACATCTGGTGAGGTGGATGAACAGACACGGGGTAATCAGGCACATACCCAGGGTAACCATGGCCATGCCCGTGCGGGTGTGGATGCCCGTAACCATACCCATAGCCGGGGTGCCCGTATCCATAATAAGTCGGCATGTATCCAAATTCAGGTTGAACCATTAAATCCATCTTACCACCACCAGCATTAGCACCATTTCCACCATCTCCACCACCTTTGTTCTTCGTCTTCGCACCGCCACCACCCCCACTCTCGTCACCCTCCTTGTTGCTATCTTTCTCTTTCTTAGGAGGCACAATCTCAACATTCTTCTTCAGTTTGTCCTTCAAAGCCTCCGCCAAGGCCTTAACATTCATAGTCCCCTTGACTGTGACGAGCTCCTTCTGCTCGTCTACTTTCAACTCCTGCACACCTGTAACGCCGTCAAAATTAAAAGTCAGAAACTATAAAACAAGATTTCAACGCCGTTATAGTAACGAAACAGTAAAATATCTATCCTAGTTAAGAGGCAACGATAAAGAAAGTCGTCACCTTTGGTTTCAGAGACAATTTTGCGAATCTTGACAATGCATCCCTGGCACTGGCATTTCACTTGCACCTTCAAATCAGCCGTAGTTACCGGGGCCTGAACAAATAAAATAAATATTCAGCTTAAATTTAAAATATAAAAAATAATTAATTTGTTTTACTTAAACAACAAGAAAGTTTTTAATAAATTTTTGACAGGGATATTAATTTGAAAGCACTTCAAAACCAACATGCAAATACATTAATTTGACTGTCGAAAATAAATTAAATTTAAGAATGAGAAATGGAAATTTTACCTCTTTGGGTTTTTCCTTTTTCTCTGGTTTATTATCAGAATCCTGGTTTTTCTCTTTGTCAGGTTTTTTCTCTTTTTTCTCTTCTTTCTTATCATCTTTCTTTGGTTGAGAAGAAATGAGGTCAACTTTCTTCTTGGTTTTCTTCAGGAGCTTCTCTTTAATGGCTGTTGGATCCACAGCTCCTATCACTGTCACTTTGTTTGAGCTGCTCTCTGTTTTCACTGCTTCTACACCTGAAAATTATAAAAAAAAAAAAGAAAAAAAAAACAGAGCAATACAGAACAAACAACAAAAGCTTTAAAGGTTTCAAAAGATCTAAGTGAAAAAGGGAAAAAACCCAGTAACAAAATGGAAATCTTAAACGTAAAAAATGGATTATACCTTCAAATTTACGAATGTATTTGCGGATTTTGGTATCACAACCTTCACAAAGACAATCAACTTTCAAAACAACGGTTAAGGAACCCTTTTCCTTCTTTTCTCCATCCCCTTCTTTCTTGTTTCCATTCTTTTTCTGCAACATAGACCAAGAGCAACCCATATAAGATACGGAAAATTATCAACCAAAAATAAAAGAAAAGAAGACGAAACGGCAAAAAGAGAGAGTATTCGCTAACTGACCTCTCCCATTGTGAGTCGAAATTCGTTATATAAATTGGTTTTGTTATGAGTGGAAATAGGAATCGATAAAGGAGTAGAGGAGTTGGAGGGAGTATTTATAGAAAGGGAGATGGCATGTTGGAGTGAAATGCTGATGATGATGATGATGGATGATGGATGGTGATGAAGATGATGTATGTCTGGAGTGCATGGATGGATTTAAACGCGTGAAATTAGGTGATGGCACTGGCTAAGGAATGGGGCTAAGTGGGGTACTAAAGTGGTAGGGTTAAAAAAAGGGTACGGCTTTTATGAGTAATTGGGAGAGAGAGAGACAGAGATTGGAAGTTCCTGGCTGGTTCTTTCTTTCTGTCCATATATGCTGCCATTGGTTCTTAAAAGAGTAATTACTCCACCACCGTCACCACCTACCTCAAAGTACTATGCTCTCTAGGACACTCTAACCCCAAATCATAGTGAAATTTAGGCATACAATTCATTATCCGAGTATCTAAGAAAACTGGTCTAAGACTAAGAGGGATATGTCTCACTAGACTGCTTACTTTCAATTTTCAATAAACTAGAATCAATAATCTAACCTTAATCTCACCAAATTTTATACTCCATATGCAATGTGGACTCTCGATTCTAAATATTGATTTCATTGGTTTTAGATTCATGATTTGAAACTTTGTTAAGTATGTAGTTTTAGTAGAGGATCTTCTTAAATGGCATGACCCATGACCATAATCATTGAATTTTAAGCTGATGATCGCCTTGATTATCGTCGAAACCCACCTAACTCCCAACTTCTAGTGATGCTGGACTCATGATTACCTGACCCAAATAATTATGACTCTTCGATAAAATTCTGATAGTAGCATTGCCCAATAGGAGACCTGGCCCAGGCCTGGTAAGTTATTTGATCAATATGTGAAAAAGACTGGGCTTTTCAATCGGTACTGTTAAATTGTTAGCGCATGCAAATAAAAAGGCCTATCTTGGGCCAACTATCTGGGTCTCCCATTGTCATCATTACCAATAGCCAATAAGTAGAGGTTGAGGGAGTGACGACAGAATCAGATCCCATCGAGTTTGAGATATGAGCATAACTTCCAATAAAAAAAAAGAGCAGCCAATGCCATAGAAATCCATCAAGTCGTTGCAATTGTAATGATGTTGATATGAGCTGGCCAGTTACGAGAAGTGGATCAACGAAGAAGAAAATGCCAAATGGATGTGAAGCAGGCAAAGGTACAGGGAAGCCCAAAATTTTGACTTAATATATCAGACAAATCACCAGTTCCTATTCAATCTGGTGGAACGATCGGTTGGGGTCGATTTTTTAATGAATGAGGAAACCTGAAACTATTACACATAGACCATCAAACCATTATAATGTAAAATGACTAATATAATTATATTATTGAAGCATGCTTTTTTCTACAAATGGCTTAAGATGATTAGACAGACACAAAGCAGCGACCCAGAGTGGAAAATATCAAGTATAGTGGCCTCATTTAATGCATTGATCCTATCTTAGGAAGAATAGGTAAACAAGAGAGATATTTGTCGATGGGCGGCTGCAAAGTTTGACATGCAAGAAAAAAGTGTTGTCCTTTTCAAAAGGAAAGTTTTCAAACTGATGTAAACCCAACTAAGCAAATTGGAACAGAACTATGCCATTTTGGACCAGAAAAAATATGGCTAGCCTACCTGCTGGGCTCTCTCCTTTTCAAGTTTTACGTAGTTGAGACTTGACGGAGCTACGCTTGCTATAAAATGTGACTCTAACACATCTATCCATATCCGAATCCTGGTAGGTTTCTAGGATGCAGCTAAAGCCCATGAAATTTATCCTGGTAGGATCCAAACCCATCATTTTCGTTTCCAGGTTTAAAGCGTTCCCAAATTTGAATGAACACTGTTTTGAGTGTTGAGTAGCCGCTAGTTAGGCTGACCGATAACAAATCTACACGTGCAGGGCATGGAAAATTACAGGACAGCTAGCTGGAATCATTTGATGATCCAGGCCCCATACGCGGGAGATGTACTGAGCAAATATCAACTTTATTCAACAATTTTCTCCATTATCATCAGGTTTGTACCTGTTTGATTTACACTTCCAGGGTGGGGCCCCGAAGCCTAATTGGACTGTGGTGCACCATAAACACTTTGAATTATAAGGTCACGACATGATAATGAAAACATTGCTTTTTCTCTTTATTTCATATCAACAAACAATCCAAAAATATTGCCTGTAGCACTAATTTAAATCAATCCAAAAAACCTTTAATTAGTAATAGTAAATATTATCTTTTTGACTTGTGAAATATTATCATTTGTCAATGAAATAATTACAGATAAACATAATTTACCTTTTAATTTAAATTTTTTTATTTGATTTATATAATTATTTTTTAAAAATTATGTTAATAAATTTAAACTTTAAACTTTAACATTTATAATTTTTTAAATATTTAAATTATGATATTTTAAATAAGAATTTGTAAGCATAATTTTTTTTTTATTTTGGTAGAAAAAGAAAAGATTACAATCTCAACTTGCTAAAGAATTTTAGCTGAAATGGCGATGAGGATTTATAGTTTGATCTGAAACCATGATCAAGACAACCTGTAATTCCACTAGCAAGTGTTTTCATTTGTCAGCATGTAATTAGTAAATCTCCCTGTGCAAAACTTTGTCACTTGCTTTTTTTGTTTTTACTTTTGATAAAAAAAACAAAAGCAGTACATATTTAATCTCAACATTCACACTGAAATTTTTTAAAATTAAAATTACCTTTTGCCCTTTACATATATATATATACATGTATATATTTATACATAAAAATATAAATGATACATTAGTACTTATAAGTTATTCGAGTTCGTTTTGAAAAATTCGAATTTGATTTGATTATTATCGAGTCGAGCTCAAATTCGAATAATTCGACTTATCGATCAAGTCAAATTCGAATATTTTTATATCCGATTCGAGTAGTTCGTAAATTTAATCAAATTTTTATATTTAAATATATTTTTATTATTTTAATTAATAAAATATTTTAAATTCGAGTTCGAATTCGAATATAAATAATCGAATTTTTATCGAGTATATGAATCGAATTTATTTTTACATATGAATCGAACTTAATCAAACGAGTTTAAGTAACTCGAATTTGATCACGAATCGAATTCGAACTTAAAAAATAAAATTCAATCAAATTCAAATTGAATATCAAACTTTAAATTATAAATTAAATTTAAATTCAAATTTTTCACTACATCAACTCAACGTGACTCGATTACAATCCTATTTATACAACAAATATAGACTTAAACATCGCATCGACTGTAGCTTTGTGAAAGACGGTTTGAATTCAAACATAAAGCAAAACGCGCAAGTTGACATTAAAAAACAGTTTCCTAGCTAATTGTTTTTATATTTTATTTAGGTTCTTATCAGTTCAAGGCCTCAATTGCGTTGAGAACAACTCTTTTTTTTTTTCCACACATTGTGAACCACTACTTGAAAAATGAATTTTATATTAATTTAAAGTCTTTATCACGTGTTTTGAAAAATGTATTACATGTATTGCATGCCACAGACCCAAAGTAAAGAGTAGGCCTAAACTTTGATGTTGCAAATATATCAATATTATATTTGAGTCTTAAATCATAATTAATATATAAGATTATGATAATATAATATAATATAATATTATAAATAATATTATTTTATTTTACTTTTGAAATATATAAAAATTAAAATAAATTTATTTATTTTAATTTTTATATATTTTTTAAAATTTTATATAATTTAATATGTAGATTTAATTTTATAAATTAAAAATAATTTTCATTATTTGAAAAAGGTTGAATAATTTTATATTTAAAAATATTTATTTTTTATAATTTTTTATTTAAATATAAATTAAATATAATATAAAATAACTATTCTTTTATCTTAACAATAATTTTATATATCTAATAAGATTTAAAGTGCACGAAATCACAACTTAAAAAACAATATTATATATATATATATATATTTTTTTTTTATATATATACACGGACACGACCTTGGCTTGGCTTAGGTTCCCACAAATTCAGGGAGAGACGGGTAAGGGTGTCCGTGTCAGACAGATGGAGAGAGAGAACAAAAAAAAGGGGTCCCAGTCCTACTGACAGACAATAGCTGGCTTCTAGTCTTTGTTTCCATTGATCATTGGTGGGAGCCATGTAGGGTAAGCCCGCCTTCGTAAGCCTCACAATCCAGAAGGTTCTAATCGGTTACACAGGTAACCGGTCATGAATTTTGTAATAAAATTATAGTTTTTAATAAATGGTTATAAACAATATAATATTAATTGATAATTCAATTTTGTACTATCTTACAAAATTGTTAGTGCGTATAGCACTATTATATTGTAATTATTAAGAAGTAAAAAATTTTAATAATTTGCTAATAGATAAATATAAAATTAAAAAAATATAATATTGTTACTTTCGTTAAATGGAATAATAGATTTAAGTGATTTAATTTATACAATACATTAAAATTATCTCGTGATGAAATATTTTTTACAATTATCTAATATTATTAAATTATTATTTTGTCTTTTATACTATATATTAAAATTATCCCTTAAGGAATAGTTTTTTTGACAAAAATTCTAAATGTATTCCATTTAATTATATATATATCTCACTTCTGTATAAATTTTAAATTCAAAATTTTTTTATTTTTACTAAATACACCCCATTATTAATTTTCTATTTTCCATTCTTACCTTTTTTTTTCTCTTTACTTTTTAAAATAGAATTTCTCATAAATAAATATTCAAAAAGTTTTGAAATTTTTCAAAAATAAATATCCAATAAGCTTTAAAAATTCTCAAATATTCATTTTCAAGAAGTTTCAAAACTTCTTAAATATTAATTTTCGAGAAACCTTATATCTTCTCAGATATTTATTTTCGAAAAGACTAAAGATTTCTTGAAAATGAATATCCCAAAAGATATGAGGTTTTTTAGATCTTTATATCTATGAAGTTTGAAGTTATTGATTTTCTAAGCAATACGATTCCGTTAACAGAGACTTCTAATTTTTCAGCTACTAGGCATTATTTGTTCAATAACATTTGTAATATTTTTATAATTTTGACAAATATGCATATTAAAAAACTACTAAGTATAAAAAGGTGTTCTTGCAAATTGACTGCTACACCATATGCAATGGAGCGTAACTGTTTCATTGCACATAGTTAGTAGCTATTTGCATGAATGCTCTTCATAATTAGTGATTTCTTTCAAATGCATGTTTATTATAATTGGATAAATGTTATGAACATT